GAAAAATAAAGGGCAATTAACTTAAGTACAGGTCATAGCTAGTACACCCATGATGTTTGTCAAAGTCATATACTCTGTGCTTTTCTAAACCAGAGCAAATGGATGCTGAATTAGCTGAAAATTACCTCACTCAACATCCACTAAATGCACCAGCCAGCAGAACTGCAACATCAGAATTTCACGATCAGTAAAGATGCTCCTGCCTTGTAGCAAGTTATATCCTCCCATTGAGCTGAGGAAAACCCCAGATGGTTCCATATGAGCTATTGTTCTAGGGAGAGCACCACAGCTGATTCAGCTGATTGCTTCACTAAACCTAATCCTAAAGTGCCCCTCTCCCCCCTTTCTTTCAGAAAACTCCACTAATAAGACTTAACTATGTCTAATTTTAAACACCATACAGCTCACTGTAGTAAACTGGGAATAAAGACACAATAAAAAGGTAAGAAAAATGGGTATATTGAAACCTGTTTAATATACTACATAAAAATAGTAGACCCTTGGATAGAAGCAGCATTCAGAATGGAAAACAGCCCATCAGAGCTCTTATGTCTAGAAAGTTTTTGATAGGGTTCCACATTGATGGCTGCAACAATTCAAACAGAACACAAGTATGCATAGAGGTGTCTAAAAAGCAGGAAATACTAAGCAGCGTGGAAGAAAGAAACTCGGTCTAACTAGCTGGCTTTATGATAGTAAAAAGTGTCTGAAATTTAAGCCTTGATGTATTTAACAGCCTTCGTGTCAGATTTCCCCAGATAGCTCTTCTGAAAGGTTGACCAATTTGTTTCAATAGAGTGGCCACTCAACAGCACCAAAAAAAAAGACAGTATATATCCAAAAAACTGTATAGAATTTTTTCTTCCAAAGGTACAAAGTGAAGCCTAAAGTACAAAAGCAGTTAATTTATCACAGAAGCAGGGATTCCTGCAGTAACTAATTCAAAGTGCTGATGATGCACTAAATCAGGGTGAGTGATGAACACATACATAGCAGCAAGTGAAGTTCAAAAGGATACAGATCTATGTGATCAATGAGCTGCCACATGGCAAATGAAATGCGGTGTTGACAAACGTACAGTAATAGAGATGAGGCTCCAAAATAATCAAATCAAATACAAGAAAAATGTAAATTAACCAGTGCAGAAAGGTCTCATTACAGAGTTGAGGGTGCTGCTTTATACACATCTAAGTATCAGACCTTCAAATCACTGTGCTCTTTCTCTATATTTAAATGGGGGAGAAAGGAGGGGTGGGGGGAGGGGGAGAGAACACTGATAACTTGAAGAGGTGCATTACATTAAGGCAGTAAAACTTTCCTAGAAATGCGTCCAGTGGCACCAGTCATGAAAGCAACAATTCATTTCAGGCACATAGACTATGAACAACGGCCTACAGATGAAAATTTCATACAAATCTAAAATTAGTTTGCAAATAGCTGCCCTGAGTGATGACTGAACAATGAGGTCAATTTTGGTCTCTTCTGCTGACCAAGCCTCTTCATATTCCAAGTGATAACCTAGCTGATTGATGGCCTTTTGACTGAAAAGCAACAACACTGTAAGAAGAGTCCTGACAATAGTATTCAGTTACATGCACCCCTTCAGTTTCTGTGGAGCACAGCAAACTTGGTATATCAAGAAAGATGTCAGGACTTTCAAAAAGAAAGAAATCTCCTAGTATAAGAAGGAAAAGGTCATTTGTTTTTTTCTACAAACACAACAGTTGTGACTTTTTTGTGTCCAGCTGTTACCAGCTATGGCTATTATTGACATTATTCAATTACTCATTACAGTCAATATAAATGCTTTCTCTTTTGTTTTTGTCTATGGCCTGCTACGTGAAAACTGAGAAAGTTCTGTCTTTGTTTCTAAACCTTCTGTTTGAAAATGTCACATGATTCAAGATACCCTCTGTCTTTGGAGGGCTTCCAGAAAATCATACCTTCACTAAGTGTGGCTGCACTTTTACAAGGGAAATTCCACACTATATATTCACTGTATAAATATACACGGACAGGAGCAGGCCTGTTATTTCAATAGATATGAATCTCTCCAAACCCATGTATTCTATAAAACTGAGTGTTACTGCTACATTTTTACTTCCTCACAGACTCCTCAATAATACCATTTGCTGAACTGCGGGCATCGTGGGCTCCTTTATACATTTGCTTCAGCTCATAATCATTGTCAAAAATATCCATCAAAGAGCCCTGCTTCCCTTCATCGACTTTTTCCTTTTCCTTTTTAACACAATTGATTGTTTTCTTTGACATGTAAGGGATTTTTCTCCCACAGGCTATCTTGACTTGTTCTCCAGAAAGTCCACCTGCCAGGTGATAGCATGGAATTAGACCAAGACAATGTAAGCGGCAAGAAACAAAAAAGGTAGATAGCCCATTAGCTTCTTGCTACAAACTTTATCCTTTCCTCTCCTTAGTTCAAAGGCTTGTTAGCACATTTTTTGTAGCTTCTCTTATATAAAACTCTAACTCTGCAGCTCTTAATTAGATGATGAATCATACTTTGTCTTCAATGAAACCACAAACACTCAATGCAAATGCAAATAAAGGGTTACTCATTTTGGTTTATGGTGGTGTATTAAGACTACAGGAATATTCTCTTAACATCTTTGAAACACTAAGTCTTTTTGACTAACACGCTGAAAAGAACTGAAATAATGATAATTATTATTAACACTGATACGTTCTAATATACTGGAAGCTAATGACAAATAAAGCAAACAAGATAAAACAGAGGTCCTTCAGAACTCAGTTACTTAGTAAACCATTACAATGACCCAAGAGAAATGAACTATCAAGTCTGCTTTCAGAGTGTTTGTTACTTGAAAAGATTTTAAAATAGTAGTAATAAAGCCTTGCTTTTGCTTCTTGAGTTCTGCCATTTAGTTGAACACTGGAATTCCATAATAAAACTGGATTCAAGAGAACATAATGCTAAATCCCAAGTAATAGTACTGGGGTTAAAGAGCTAAAAAGCCTAAACAAATGCACAGTGGAAACAGTAAATAAGTCATCCAGTTCCCCTTATCTTTACCAAAGCTAGCATTCCAACTCTACAGTACAAGGACACTATTTTGTTATATCTATAAACCACAAAGAATTAATGAATTAGAGGCATTTCCAATTGTGTAACTTGTAGTTTATGAACAAACTTATTAACATTATCTTTCATTTTGTCCAACTCAGAGATATATGCATGGAAAATCTCCATCTGAACTTCATTTTATTTTTTTAATTATAAAAAGTAGAATAGCATCTTCCAACTAATGCCAAGATTTTAACTACTTAGATTTTCACAGATAGATTTTTCACTGAAGTTGATAACAGAAGAATTTCTATTAGAGCAGAACCAGTGAAAAGTAGCAACAATAGGAAAACACTCAAGCTAACAAACAAAGCCCCATTATAACTTTAAGGTTATTATGATTGTTTAGTTTGATCTAAACTTTTTTATTTTTCCTAAATTTATTTCAGGACAACTTTCACATTGTTATTTCTCAGGCAAATGTAGAAGAAAACAGAAAAAGCAGGTTTGAGACATATGTATTAAAACCGTCCCTTTCTGAAATTCTGAGTGAAATGCCTTTGTGGGAAAGCTGAATTTCTTTATGAATGTATCTGTGCAAGCAACAGTTTTTGGTTGGAATATGGAGTGTGCTGGATAGAAGTCTTATTGGCTTAAATGAGATGAGGATTTCACCCTTAACATAAACAAGATTTTATGGAGGAAACTTTTGAGTTCAAGATTTCTTATCTGGGTGAGATTAAGTAACTTATCTGAACTGATGTTATAACTAAGGAAATGAGCCAAACGGGCCCAATAAATAAGCTATCCAAAAAATAAAACATGAATGCCATATAAAACTTCCAAAAAGCCAGTATGTTTCCTTTCATTGCCTACCACATGGAACACACCTCTCTATAACATAGCCAATACATTCATGTAACTTTTGTTTTATATTTTGTCTTCCAATTCATTTTGGTTACAGGTAGAATTATTGTGTTAAAAACAAAAAAAAAAAATGACCTGATTCCAGACATAGTTTATTTAAATTTCAAAATGAAAAGCTTACTAAGAGCAGATAAGATTGATTGTTCTTTCCATCTTAGCATAATTGTATTTCAGGTGAACATCAATTTACTTTAAAGGACACTTCTAAGTAGCAGGCTGCATCATACATAATTCATCAATCACAGCTGCCTGTAACATGATTTACTCAAGCAGAATTCAATGGAATAGAGGGAGTCGCATTGTTTTTTATGCTGTGGCCTGTTTGTTTTTAAATAGTTTACGAAACATTCATTTGCACTGTATTATTGCTGAAAAGAGTTCATCCTTGGTTCATCAGCAGGTAGAATTTCTTCATACAGAAACGATTCTTCAGATTTCTTTTAAAAGGTAAAATGAGTCTTGAAAACATCATTAAGGCAAAGAGCACTAAATGTTCATGAAAGGAAAAAATAGAGCTCAAAGATTTTTATATGGAGTAGGAGAAGGCAAAAGTATTTACCTGAAAAGCATTACTAGTTTTTAGTGCTGTGTATTTTCTATCTGCTTTGACGTCATTTGTTATTGCTTTATTACCAGTATGCACATGTAATTGAAGAGAAGTAGATCCTTCCTTAGATAGCCCTTCACTCGGTTGTCTCATGGATAAAATGACCTATACTTGACAATATGCACAAATAGGACACAAAACTGTGCATCAGCTAAAGTGCAATTGCTAGATACAGCAAGAAGTAGATGTAACACTTTCATTTACGGGGACACCGCCTTGTGTGCTATCCTGCTCACTGTTTTCTACCAAATTCAGCTTCAATGACGCGTTGGTGCCTCAGACAGTCCTGAAGTAAAGAACCATTTCCACAAACAGATGCAAATAGAGCTTTAAAAGAAAAAAGAAAAAAAAAAAAAAAAGAGAGAGAGCAAAAGAAGCTGCTAGAAATACACACTTGCACAAAGAAATTTCTTTACTTACTTGTAAACCCATTTGAAACACAGAGTGACCCATAAAATTAGCCAACATTCGAATTAAAGCTGCACCCTGTGGGAAATGATACAGGAAAAAAAGAAGTTACTGGTTTTGCATATCAATATTATACAATCACAACAATTCGAAGTATGCAATTCCATTCAACAATATCATCTTAGAAACTTGTGATTGCTATAATTTCTAATTGTGCTGGATTGAAAAAAAGAGAAAGAAGATGCAAACATTTACAAGGAAAAGTGAGTTAGTTGCCCCAACCCTTCTGTGTACTCAGCAGTACTGCAGTATTTAGTGAGGGCAAAAAACAATGTCCATGATAAATTCTACCAAAATGATTATTCATCATATATTTATTTTAATTATACTGGAAATAAGGATTTAGTGATAATAATTCCTTTATAAAAGCCTTCAAGACCTAGTGATCTAGAAGTGGATCATTTTCATAAGAATTTTTTAAAATGTCAATATTCATACTTGACTTTATTAATAGCCAGCTTATTTCTCACAAGATCATGCAAAGAGGTTAAGTATTTGTATAATATATTTCCTGTACTTATACCAGTTCTTATCCCTTGCCCCTTCAGACAAAGGAGTAAGATCTAAAAAAATTCTTTTGTTTCACAGGTGATTCCAATTGTCAGTACTTATACTAAGAACCAGACATACACTTGCCAGACCGCCTTTCTTTAAGGCGTCCTTTGTGTTTTCCCAGTCCTTCTCAGTACAACCACAACTGCTGTGCATTTTCCCCTTGCACAAGTGCTGTGTTTCAAGCAGAAATACCTTTGCAAATCTGATTTGATGATTTGGCTATAATATTCCATTTTGCAGTCCAATTTCAGGAAAATCAGCATCCCAATCCCATAACTAAATATGTTATACTTAATACTGATCACTGTATGAGAAGGAGGACAGTTTGGATTTCAAAATGGTGAACCAAAGGCCAACATGATGTTAGAACTCAACCTCAGCTACATATGTAGGTTCAGGAATTAGGTTAATGCTCAGTTAGAAAAAATTAATAAAAAAAAAAAAAAATCACAGATTTAGAAATTCCCAGGTACTAAAGCCAAAAGGGTTGTTATAATAAAGCAATATTACTCCTGCATTAACAGAAGTAAAACAGTTATTTAGGTAAAAACCCTATTGCTTCTCTTCACATAACATCTATTTTAGAAAGATTCAAGAAAAGGAAAATGTTTCACAGTGTTACATAGCTTGTCAAAACTAGTATTTACTCTAGCTCTAGCATTTAAAATGTGAACCCTTCTTTCTAATTTGAGTTTCTCTAGTTTCAGCTTTCAAAACCAGAGTTTATGGCTTTTCCTGTTAAATTAAAGTTCAAATTAGTTTTGGAATTCAACAGTTGTCCAATTTTTAGACTGTTTAACACATTCTACTGATTTTTTGTACAGTGCCTATTTTTGAAGTAATGAAGGAAGCATCTGTAGTAATCAACATTTTAAACAACAATATGCATCAAAAAGATTAATAACTTGTTAGTAAATCATAATAAAGCAAGTTTTTCACACAGGCAGCAACAAGTAATATATAATTAATAAAGTAACAAGAAAAAAAATAAATTCAGGAGATGTTTGTAATTGCTTATAAGAAATGAACAGCAGATAAACAAAAAAAAAAAAAAAGTGTTTGCGTTATTAGTACTATGCTGGGTTTTTACAGTGGTACTTAATCTTACCAGGAGACCAATCATATCAGGAACACACGGCACTATAAAAAATAATCCCTATCCACACAGATTATTATCAGAACAGACAAGACTATAGGCCAGGAAGCATTATTACCCTCATTTTACCGGAGGAACAAACAGAGTGAGTAAAGTTCTCAGAGATGTTTAACCAGATAAATAGCAGATAAATCTGTTTAAGCAGATAAACAGCAGACAAAAAAAAAAAAAATCCAATAAAAAGATAAATCCTATTTGTTTGTTAACTAACTTGGAAAGGGCAACCCAAAACATCTGTAACAGAACCAAAACAACATAAAAATATAAAAGAGATCAGTCCAAATTCTTAACAACATTCTTCCACTCATCACACATCCTTTTTCCTGCTCATTTCTCAGTATTCTGGGGTCCCCTTCTTCATTTCTCAGAGTCTAAATTTCACATAGGAACAAAGACACATATTCCTATAGGCACCTTAGCTCTACTGATTTCTGTGAGAAGTAAACAAATGCCTTCATATGATCTTGCCCACAGAGTCTTTTTCTATCCAGAGACCAAGAACTGTCAGACAGACATAAAATAATTATAAAATTGCTCTCACAGCTCTCATTTAGCCACATCATGGATGGAACTATGGCTGGCCTTTACATAGCAAACAAAATAAAAAAGCAAATAAAGTCTGAACAGGAGATCCAAGGCACAAAGGCAGAACTACTCTCTCTGGATCCATTTGTTTTCACAGATACTTTAGAATTACTTTCTAATTACCTTCAGGAAATCCAGAAGTCCATTTACAACATCCAGAACAACAATGTGCCTGACCCAATTCTGCTATCTTCCCCACACAGTTTGCCTATCTGGATGACTTATTTGCCAAAGAATAGTACAGGAAATGAGAGAGAGGGAAAACAGAAAATCACACAACCTCAAGGGGTAAAAAAAATGTCTTGAGGAGAAGGGAACAGAAGCAGAGGAGCAAATTCAGCCCTTGGTGTGGAGGGAAAAGAGATTGGAGGAAAAAAAATGTGAGAAAACCACTTATTTCAACATTTTTGCACTTCAAAGGCAGGCAAAACAGAATAGGGACACATTCCTAAGAAGAACTGAAGCAATCAATACAATCCCAGCTCTAGGAAGGAAAGGAAAGGACAGGTAACACTGATACTCTGGAGATGAAGAGAAACATCTTTGCAGAGGTGGGATTGAAAAGTCTGAGTAACTGGCATAGGGAAGGGGGACTTACTAAAAGATGGGCTTGAAGGATGATCCTAACTAGAGGGATGTAGCAAGGAAACAGTATGTTCAGCTGCAAAAGCAATGGAATAAATAGCTTTGGGATTGTCTAAATGGCCCCATATGCTAGCATTTTCATTGTATATTCACATAGCAAGGAGTGAACTATAGATCCCAGAGAACCTGTGCTTCCAACCCTCTGAAAGCTTCTCTGACCGAGACCTAAACCTATAAATCCTAAATCACAACAAATCTGTCCTGCTGCAGAGGATGCTCTTTGGAACCTGGCAGCATCATTCCCTGAACACCCTGACATGCAACTGATCTGCTTCCCATTTCATTCTCAGAGCCACTTCTGCTCCGCCAACATTTGTCCAACCAAGGAATGATGTATGGAGTCTTGAGAAGTGAACCTGGCTCTCTTACAGGGCACAACGGCCATTTATTGATGATTTAAGTGCTTTCCTCCAGGCAGTGGATGACTCAGTACCCTGTCAAGAGGCAAAAAGCATTGGTTTAAGAGGTCTAATGGAAAGCAATTCCTTCCTATTCACAAAACACATCTGCATTCCTGACCATACCAAATCTGGCCCATCTTAACAGGGAAAAGGTATGTACCCCAATTAAATAAAAGTTTACTCACAGAAATATACTAGATATTCAATCAATGACTAATGGCACTACCTAGTTCTTGTGAAGCACTTTTCCGTAGCAGATCTCAAAGTGTTTTGTGAGGCATTGGTATAAATACCCTTCCCCTTACAGAATGGGAAACTGAGGCACACCATAGTGAAATCATTTACTGAAGATCACCCAGCATGTTCATCATGCAACCTGGGACACAGTAGGAGCTTCCTCAGCCTCTGCAATGTGACACTACTGCTACTGGAAAGGGAGGTAGAACATCAGCTGCTCCATGGAAATAACTGCATGTGCAGACCTTGTATACCAAGTGCTCCTGGGAAAAAGCAAGCTCATTGCCAATTAGCCAATAGTGGCTGAAATGCTGTAAATTTATGCTATTTCCTTCCATGAAAAGAAATGTTTGCACACCCACACCATGGTAAAATCCATAATAAAATGAGGAGCAAAATTTCTTTATACGTGAGATGAACTTGTCTTTGAAATCTAGAAAATGTAGACTCACAGTTAAGTCATCCCATCCAATTCTCTCATGTCAACGTAATAATATGATTTCAACCTTGATCCCCTATTAAATTAAGCTAATTTTTAAAGACTCACTCCTGCATTTTGTGATCAAAATCACAAAATGAAGGAGTGTGACTGTGGCATCACTACAGGTCACAATTACTGTAAGTTAATTTAATTCTTTTTAAATGATCCAATTTTACTATATCTGAGTTCTTAAACTAATTGTTTCACTTGTAATTTGCATTCCGTAATCATTTTTTATACAAAAGAAAGCACCAAATGGAATTTTATTCAGCAGGGAAAAAAAAAAAAAAGTGTGCCATAAGTTTTAACCCACAAAAAATATCACTATTACCATACTACAGAGTACTGTTATATAGCCACATAGCATGGGATGCATCTGACTAAATGCAGATATCTGCAACACCTCTGTTTACAATTAGTTTAGTGGTCTAGTCTTTCTTTACATTCAATGGACAGAATCTGTCACTTCTGGATGCACTTTATCTCCAGACTGATCAGATGACTTGTACCTTAAAAACACCACCTCTCATATTTGACTCCAAAATGAGCAGTGGGTGAGTAGTTCATATGCATCTATCTGCACTACAGATATCTAAAGTGAGGTGAAATTAATTCAACTGCCTTGTCCTAAAAGGCCATACAGAGATTGATACCCCACTCTGCTACGAGAGTTCTATACTGGTAGGTATAACATTTCTGAAATATTAAGATACACAACTGGTGTGACACCACCCTTTCATATATGTATATATGGCATATAAGGCATATAGGCAAATATAGGCATATAATAAATCATATCTCATTTTTAACTTTCATATAAGAAAACCTTCTAAGGCAGGTATTCAAGAGAGGACTCTGAAGAGAGGGCAGTGTGCTTGCTAGCTGAAGATGGATATTCTGTACCAAACAGACAGCAGAGAAAACGCTTAAAATTATGAACTAGTGAAGCCATTGCAGA